AGTCCAGGGCCCACTGCCAGTGGCTCTTTTCTTGGGATCAATATCTGGTAGGAACTAATGACATTCAGACCCTTTGTGCCAGGGAGACTTTTGCCCTTTCCTTTCTAAATTGTGGAACCATGTACCACTGTTACCCATGTACCACTGACCCTAGTCTTAGGCTGCTAAGAACCTTGAACCCAGATGTGACCTGGAGCAGTGACCACCGTGTTGTGTGGCCTGCCTCATTAAGGCCCAGGTTTTGTCCTCCTGTGGACTGTGAAGAGCTATGTGTGCATCTGCACTACTGCTGCCATGCAGTCGGAAGGCTTTGGTTACATTTCTAGTTCTACCCTTGGCTTGTATGACTGAGCAGATCCTTTTTCTTCTCTGATCTTCAGTTTCCTCTTTTGTGCAGGGGATGAGGAACACTCTAACTCACCTTCCCTTCAGAGTTGATCTCTTGGTACTCTCTAAGCTGGGGTAGGGCTGTGTGACAAAGATGGGTAGCCGTGTTCTTCTGAGGCCTCTGGGAGTTCAGGTGTTGGCATTTGGCTCTGTGTCACTCATGAAGATGGGGCTTGGCCCTGCTACATTTGTACTGCTTGTGCTTTAGAATAACAGGGCTGGGACCACCCAGAGGGCCACACAATAGCCTAAACACCCATCAGTGAGTCTGCAAACTGCATATGTACCTCCAAGTCACAAGAGCCCCTGGGTAAGAATGATAGTCCCCACTCCCCACATGCTTCAGTCAGATGTGGGGTACAGAATGGCAATCTGTGTTGCTGCTGAGACTCAGTACCTGCTTGACAGTCTGGCCATCTAGCCTGGCCTGGCCTGTCTTCGGGTGACACCTCTCGGAGAGGTTCTTCTCCTGGAGGAGCAGGCAGCATCCTACTGAGTAGACCCTTCCTGACTGGGTGGAAAGTCTACACTTGCCATCTATCATTGACATCCTGCTGACGAGGAGTCCTTTGACATCTTGCTGAAGAGGAGTCCCTCTGTCCCCCAGGGCTAGCCAGAGCCAATAGGACTCCTGACCAGTGTCAGCTAAAATAATCAGGGTAACTGGGCTTTACTAAAGGAAAATAACATAGGGGTGCCTTGCCTTTGCTGGCTAGTTCTCCTGACCTGTTCTTTTGTAGATTCTACTGTTTCAGGTGGCCCCTTTTACTCACAGACCTTAATATGGTCTTTCTAAAAGACCTAGCTCAGCAAGCATTTTCACAAATACCAAGGATAAAGAACATGAAAGAAAGAGTGAAGGAAATAAGAAAATTATTCAGTCAGATTACAGCTCTGATTCTTTTTCTTTTGGAGAGATTTTTGCTCTAGGGCACGTGCACTCTCCAGAGAGACAGAGAGAGACAGAGAGACAGAAAGCGAGAAATCACCCCCCAGGGGAGATGGCCATGCCACAATCCCTTCTCCTCCATTCTCCTCTTGGGATCTTGGGCACACACACACATGCACCCAGTGTTGAGTTTAAGATACTGGGTCCGGGATTTGAACTGTGGTCGACTGCATGGGAGTCTAGCGACATAACCATTACACCAACTGCTGGTCCCACAGCTCTGATTCTTAGACAGCCACATTCTAGCTCCTCAAACTACTTTTTATCCGTAAAAGCCTTGCCTAATATTCTCATATTTGTGACCTCAGTCCCACATGAGTACATCTTATCTATTGATCTCTTTCATCATCATGGTCTTGGCCAGAATTTTCCTTCCAGGAAACTTACTGGTTATAGTTAATGTCACTGTGCCACCTGGATGTTTGAGAGGACTCTGTTCCTCAGGTATAAAATCTTGGGTCTTATAAAATTAAATCCTAACTATGCTATCTGAAACATCGGGATCCACTTTCTGGAGCTACCTGCCAAATATCTGAAGGGTCACTGAGGGAAGGCTAGACTGCCCTTGAACTTTCTGGGGTAGAACTTGTTATCTCAACTTTCTGGAGTAGAACTTGTTATCTCATCACCAGGCCACCTAAAAAAGGAGATTGCAGTTGTAATGTCCACTTTCTATCTCTCACTCTTCAGCATTTTTCAGGCTGTCTTCTGTCCTCTACATCTTCCCCCCATCCCACTGACCAAGATCACTTGTGATTCAGTTATTCCAAATCTACTGACTTTTCTTAGCTCTTACCTTGCTTGACCCTACTGTATGGCACTTGACACAAATAACCTGCATTTTAAGCTCAAAGCACAGTTCTGTATATTTCAGAAAGGAGAAGTATGCTTTTATCACAGTTTAAGTTGACCACAGGTAATGTGAAGTAGGCTCAAAAGAGTACCTGTGACCTTGGGTATCTGATAGCCTCAAAAAGGTCTGCAGGGCTGCTTTCTGGAATTGGGTGTGGGTTTGTTGCAGGTTGGGTGAGCTTGTCTCCTGAGGAGCTCCTTAAGTTGCTGGGAGTATGTGCCTACAAAAGGCATTGCTTGGGGAAGCCTTCTGGACTCTCAGATCTTGGAAGGGTTCTGCAAGGAAGAAATAGAAATCTTATTCTCTGCTGTTTCTAAAGACATAGCTTAGACTCAGAGGTAGAAGTTATAGGGAGACAAATTTTATTGGGGGGGGTGGTTTCCAATGAGGTACATGCCCTGGCTGGGGTTGGGGGCAGTGAGAAATCACCTCCAGAGGGAAGGACCACACCACAGTCCCTTCTCCATTTCCTGTTGGGCTTTTGGGCATGCACACAAGTACATGTGCCTGGCATGATTTTTAAGCCACCGGATCTGGGACTCAAATGATGGCTGGCCATGTGGGAGTCCATCGCTTTAACCATCATGCCACTTTCTGTCCCTTAATTTAGTTTTTAAGGAAGGATGTGAAATTAAAGCTGGCTGCTGTGCAAAGTAGAAAATGCCTTGTGTATGATGGTAGTCTGGTAGAGGTGGCCTGGTTTCGTTTTTCTCTTTATGATAGAGCACATGCGCACATGAGAGAGAGAAGGAAAGAGAGGCACCTTCCACAAGGTCTGGTCCTGCTGTGATCCCCTTCTCCATTCCTCTAGCCCTTTGGATCTCGGGCACTCATACACGTGCATGCCCAGCGTGTTTCAGGCTGACCAGGCCAGGGATCCAAACTGTGGTCGCCATCTGCAATCTGGCTTCTCTTGAGCAGCACATTACCACTATGCCACAGAGCTGGCCCCAAAGCCTGGTTTCATTTCAGCTCAATAAAAGTTCTGAGGTATTAGCCTGGACCCTCTGCTCACCTCACTCTGTACTCTTCCCAAATGATCTTATCTACTCTTGTGGCTTTAATTTTTCTTCTATGACATTAACAATTCAGCAGTCTGTATCCTTAGTCCAGACCTCTCTTCAAAACTAGATACCAGCTGCCTCTTAGACATCATTCTTCTGTCAGATTATTCTCTTAGGCACCTCCAACTCAGCAGACATTGAGTGCTTGTCATGTGCTATGCATAAATCTAAAACTGCATTCCTGGCTCCTGCCTCCTTTGCAGGGGTGCAAAGGGTGGGCAGTAGAAGCAGTCCACCTCACTTTGAGCAGCAAACTTGTATGGAGAGAATTTAGAAACAGTAATCAAATGGACTAAATGCTGACCCATCTCCATGCCACTGCTTTCCTATCTGCATCCGTCTTAAGTGAGTAGCATGAGGCTAGCCAGCCAGACATTTTTTAATTGGCAGAGGGCATATGTGCTTACCAGAGAGAGAGAAAGAGAGAAAGCACCCGCCCCCCACAATGGGGTATCATCACACTATAGTTCTTCTGCTCCGTTTCTCCATCCTGTTGGAATGTCGAGCACGCACAAACAACTAGCATGTTTTCCAAACCTCTAGGGGGTGGGATGCCAACTACCATCAGCCATGTGGAATCTGCCTTTTTTAACTGCTAGGCTACAGGGCCAGCTCAGCCATAGGCCTTTAAGTTGAACTCTACTGTTTCTCCCACTGGGCCCCACATCTCACTTGGTCACCAGGTCCTCTGACATCTCTCACATTCCATTCCTTGGTTGCTGTCTCTACCACTACTCTGTATAGCCTCCTGACTATTTCCCTGCTTTTTTGGTCCGTTTTTCCTATTTCTGGAACAATCCTGATAAATCACAGCTCTTCGGTGGCTCTCCATTGCCTGTGGTCAAGCTCTTCTCCAAGGAGGAAAACTCTTGTGATCTTGATAGTATCATCTTTCTATCTTTCCATATATGTTCATGCTCCAACTGAAGACTGTTGTCTGTTTCTTTCATTATTCGTTTTTCTAGACAGACCGAGCCCTCTGTGAACAAGCATCAGCACAAGTTTGAATGGATTTGTGTGTGTAAAACAGCATTGTCAGCTAGAGGTAGAGAAAGTTGATAAATTTGAATAAATGAGAAAAAAAGAATAGGCCCTTAGTTTAAGTTCTGACCTGTTCTTATCCTTCTGCATGATCTCTTCTCTGTCTGAAAAAAGCCTTTAACTAGAGCCTTAAATGGGAGCTGAACCCTCTGTCCATCTATCTCTAAGTCACGTGCTCTCCCTTTTCTCCTCCTGTCTCGTCTCTACCACTCTACTGTAACTAAACAACAGACTGGCACTGTGGGAAGTATGTAGGCTTTGGAGTCAGCCAGAGCTGGGTTTAGTTCATGGCACTACACTGTCGTTTTTCAACCATAGGATCATAGGTAACCTCCCTGTATCTCATTTTCTTGTCTACAAAATATAGACGGTGGTACGTACCTCACATCTTTGCTTTGATGACCAAATATGCAAGTGTAAGTAAGGTCCTCAGCATATTCTAGGCCACTTAAGAATAGTAGCTGCTGATAGTTATTTTGGATAGAGTCTCCAGGCTCTCACATCTGGATCTGAGGGCTGATGCTGGAGCTCAGTGTCTATATGGTGCTATAAGTTGGGTCCCTTCCTTGGGTAAGGTTGGATCCATGGTTAATGAGTTGGCTTTTAGGGGGCCTCTTTGTCCTGTAGATGCTGTTGGTCTTCCATGCTTACAACTCTTAACTGGGATATGGGTGTGTCCAACTTGTTCTCTCTTTCTTTCTTGCAGGCTCCCCGGCCAGTGCCAGTATCTGGGCTTGCCAGTGGCAGATTACTTTAAGCAGTGGATTAACCTGAAAAAGGTACTGTGTCTCAGCCCCACCAGGTGCTTCCTCTGGTTCTCATGTGCCTTGAAGCTCCCCTCTCTTGTTTTCTTTTTTCATCTCTGTTCTCTTTCCTTTTCTTTTTGTTCTTCTCTTCTGTCAACATCCCTCCTTCCTCTTCCCTAGGGAACATGCACTGGAATGTTGTGTTTTTGTTTTTATTTTTTTATTTTTATTTTTTTTCCTAGGAATTGGGAACTACTAGGAGACCTGGCTGCTGGGTACAATATGGTGCCCTGGAACAGCCTCAGGAACCTCCTGCCACAAGTCAGCTTAGTGATTCTTGAGAAGCTCAGGGAGGGGAGAACACATCAGGGGTCAAGATAGTGGCTCCCAGGGGACTCAGAGAAAAGGGAGGTCATGGGGACAGAGGCAGGCCAGGTATTGCAAGGATTTGAGTCTTGAACAGAACATTCAAAGCATGTGGGATATATTGGGTTGTCAGAAAAGTCATGACACATTTTTGCGTAGAAAAGCATAGAAAAAATATGTAATGACTTTTCCGACAACCCAATAAATAGAAGGAGGGGAAAATGCTTTGAGGCAGGGAGAACAGCATACTTTTGGTATGTGTTGGGTGGGACTAAGGGAGCATGTGGAGGAACAGTACAAGAGAAAGTAAGTGTCTGTGCCACACTGAGGATGACCTTGGACTTCGTTCCATGCATGGTGGCAGCATTTGTGAACTCCCTTGCTTTCCCCCTGGTGTACAGGTCCTTTGCACTCTGGCTGGTTTACACTTTGACCCATACCCACCTCTCCTGCTGATTTCCATGCAGCTGAGCATCTGCTGCTTAGTACTTCCCATTTTTGGATGCAGAAGCTAGGCTCTGTCCTGCCTTGGCCGTTGGCCTTCCCTCTGTCTAAAATGTCCCCCAGTCTTTTTCATCAGGTGTGTTCTCTCTCCTTGAAGAGTCAGTGCAGGTATCATTTCTGCTCAGAAGCTCAGCAGTCTCGACTTGAGGTTCCTTAACCTTGGGATATCAGTTATCTCTGTAGAAACGGAATTTATATGTGTTTCCTTCCAGATGTGTCCATTGGGAGCACAGAGACTGAGTCTGGTCCTCTCTGTGTCCCCAGTGACTAGGTCAGGGCCAGGTACAGAGTATATGCTCAGTGAATAATTGCTGGCTGACTGGCTTATCTTGGAGAGCTAGCTCTGCAGAGGCCCTCCCAGGCGGGGTGGGTGGGGCCAGGCGTGCGCTCCTGGAAGACAGCGTGCCAGCTGTCAGAGCTCATCTGAAGCAGCGTGCTGGCCTCAGCAAATGCAATGTGAAGGGCCGGCCAGGCGAGGCAGGCGCTGACCATGAACAATTACTCTGTGAAGTTCACTAGACTTTTTGGTGTATGGATAGCTCCCTGCCTTTAGGTCCCTTGGCAGAAAGGCAGGAAAGCAGCCGACCCGTGTGGTAACATTGCCATTCAGGGCCACCTTAAAGCTTCTGGGCCCAAAGGGTGGGGGTGGAACAGGCTGTCCTGAGTCTATTCAGCTTGGTCTCTACTAGACTGTGTTGAGCTTGGGCTTGGGGTCGGGGTGGAATGAGGCCTCTGTTCCCAACTGGCCTTATGATTTCTTCTCTGGAGGAAATTAAAGTCTGGAGAAAACAAGGAATCTAAACTCTTCCTCTCTGCCCTCCAACCACATCATGCTCCAGGTGCTTACAGACCTAGCCAGGAGAGTTGACTTAAGTCTGGAGTTTAGACTGATAGCCATTCAAGACAGGGAGGCTGCAGAATTCGAGAAGTGCAGGGGCATGGTTATCTTTCTGACCTGTCTGCTGTGTGCCTTTGTGCAGCCTAAGGCTCCTCTTCCCACAGGAAGAGTAATGGGGAGCCACTGGCTCTGTGGCACAGCAGTCATGTGCTACTTAAGAGAAGCTGGATCCCACATAGCTCAATCCCAGCCCAGTAAGCCTGAAATATGCCAAGTATGCAAGAGCCCAAGATCCTACAGGCTGGACGACTAGAGGAAGGGAATGGTGGCATGGCGTACTCCTCTCTCTTCCTCTCTTACATGTACATGCACATGTTCTATCATGAATAATGAACAAAGAAAAAAAACTTTAAATAACAGTAATGTTAAAAACAGGGCCTGCAGGTGGCATGGAGGTTATGGCGGCTGGATCCCACATAACCAAGTGTCCGGTTTGAGTCCTGAACTGGTGACTTAAAAGGCACACTTGGCGTGTATCCCCAAAATCCCAAAAGGAGAATGAAGAAGGGATTGTGGCATGGCCATCCCACTAGAGTGATTTCTCATTTTCCTTCCCCCCTTTTTTCTTTGCATCTCTCTGGTGAGCACATGCACCCTATAGCAAAACATAAATAATAAATAAATTAAAAACAAAGCCAGTAAGACCATTGTCAAGGTTGGAGGAGGACTGTGTAAGAGCCTCGTTCTGTGTGTCCTTTCCCCCAGTGTGACCCAGGCTCTGGCTCTCCACAGGTCCTTTCCTGCCCTTGATGTTACTTTGTCTTTCCCCTTCCCCTCCTGCCCCCCTCTTCCTCATCTCCTTTAGCAGAGCTTTGGCCTTTGAAAAAAGTGGGGAGGGTCCTAGTTCACTTGGCCACCTGAGTAAGCACTAAGTTTCTGGGACTGAATTCACCATTCCCATTTCTTAAGGCTCCTGATTTGAGATGAAAAATGCTTTCAGCTGCCCTCCTCTCTGCAAAAATGGTGTGGGTTGAATTAGGAAAGAGCAACTTTTCAATGGCCAGGTTTCCACATTTCCCACCTCCACCTACTTCCCCTGTAGCAGAGTGGAGCTAGCCAGTGTTTGCTGACATTTGGAATGTCATTGAATGATCTTATCCTCTTATTGAGCTGTCAGCTTAGAGAGGACTTGGGGCCCTGCTCCCAGCTCCCTCTAGGAGGTCGAGCTGTCACTGAGGGGCCAGAAGAATACACACACACACACACACACACACACACACACACACAAGCACACGCACATGCACATACATAAATACACACAAGTATACTCGTGAATGAATACAACCAAGTGAGTATACTCAAAATTATATGTACATATCGATACAGGCATACAAGTGTATACACACATTCACATAAGCATACTCATCTGCAGAAACACTTGGAAATATGCAGACATGAGTGTGTTTATATGTAGATACTCATAAAGCAGAAAATGCATGCACATATGTAAACTTACATATCTTCATCAATAAACAGATATCCTTCAGTGCCTTCTATGTGCCAGGTACTATGCTGGGCCCTGGAGATAGAACAGAAAAAGTGGATGTTGAATAGATATTTTCAATTGCAGTGAGGAATACTGAACAGTTCAGAGTCATGGAACATATAATGAGGAAACTGACTTGGTGGGGTCAAAGAATAGTTCTCTGAGGAGGGATGTATAAGCTAAGACCCAAAGGAAGAGTAGGAATTGGCTCAGTCCAGGAAACAGCATGTGGTGAGGCCCTAAGTAAAAGCCTTGCAGCAGCAAGGAATCAGAATATAAGTTCCAGGAGGACAGAGAATTTTTGTCTTTTTTGTTTACTGTTGTGTTGCCATCACTTTGAATAGTCCTGACACATAGATGTTTAATCATTATATGTTGAGTGAATGACTGCCTGAAGCATAGTTGATGTTGGGAGAAGAGAGTGGCTTGAGATGAAGCTGGAGGGGAAGGCAGAAGCTTGTAGACCACACTTTGATTTTGACCTTTATCTTTAGGGTAAGGGGATGCTATTAAAGGGTATTAAACATGAGAGGCATCATTGGATTTGCATCTTCAGAAACTCTCCAACTGCATTTTAGAGAGAGCTATGAGCAGAAATGGGAGCACAATTGCTGGTTTCTATGAATAGGGCTGCATTTGGCATTTTCAGGTAGGACACATTATCCTGGGGGTGACATTGCTGAACTGGTGGTATCCCCAAACCCTGCTCATGGAATGCCACTAATGCCCCCCTCCAAGTCACTCTGACAGCAGAGGCCCCACCCCTAACACATACGTTCCCAGTGGCTTAGACAGAGGTAGGTGGAGGGAAATACTGTGTCTGGTTGAGAATTAGACCACTGCTGCAATCCAGGTGAAAGATGGTAGTTATTTGGATGAACCTTATTGCAGTGGCAATGGAGAGAAAGGAGCTGATTCTGGAGTGTACATGGTGTAGTCCTGCTGTAAACAATGTATAGGGTCCTAAAACACCACGCTGTAGAAAGTCAAACAGTAAAAATGCAGTTAGAAGTGCAACTCTCAAAAACTTTGTCAGTGACACATTAAAAAAGAAGAGAAAAATGTAATAGAAGTGGTAGCATAGTTTACACATGTTAAATGGTTAAGAAATACTTAAATACTACAATAAACAAATACACTATTTTACCTTGACAAAGAGCCAAAATTAGCTTGCAGAGATGGACATGAGAAGTCCACATGAGTTACTGTGAAGTGGTGGTAAGCGACTGTCTGAAGTCAGATGGAAAGATGTAACCCGATGATGGCCAAACATCTATAGGGTGGCCAGTAGATGTTTGAGTTTTATGCATGTGTTTAAGATATTCCTACACAGGTCTGTTGAGCTGGGTGCAGTTTCTTGTGTTAATCTAGTGTTCCTTATGGACAAAATCACACATAAACAGATGCAAAATTTGGGTTATGTTAAATTGTTTCTTAATACATCAGTTACATTGGAACATATTTGCTCTTTCAAAATAAGTACCATAGCAGCACTTAACTATTGGGTTGTTGCAAAAGCCTTGACACATTTTTGCATAGAAAAAAACAGGAAAAATATGTCATAACTTATCCAACAACCCAAAATATAATAAACAAGAAAAGGTTATTGATTGACTGTGAGGGTGGAGGATGAAGCAGGAAACCATGATTATGATCTTGAAATGTATTATTTTTGCACTTGCATGAATCGAAATGAATTTACTGAGATAATGGAAGAAAGAGACGTTTTAGGATTAGAAGAGAAGATGAATTCCCGGTGGGGCATTTTGAGTTTAGGTG